GGTTAGTTAAACATGATTCTTTTCCTTATGAAATCTGTGCTGGCTTTCCTTAATTAACTTCTCCAAATTCTCCACCAATGTTCCACTTAGGATACATACCTGTGTATTAATCTAAAATGGAACAAAGTAGCTTTGCGCAAAATCGAAAAATGAAAGAAACTTTGATCTTTACAAGTCCAAAGTTGCTCATCATTGTTTTAGCTCTTTGCTATCTCCATGATCTTAAAACAGCAGCGGTAAGGCTAGAATGGGAATTTTAAGAATTACTTGTGAAACATGGACATTGCCAGCTGGCCAGCATTTTTATTGTCCATCCCAAGTTGCCCCTGAGGACTTCTTGAACTGCTGCAGTCCACCTGCTGTGGGTTAACCTACAATGTCCTGTGGGAGGGAATTCCAGGATTTTGACCCAGCGACAGTGAGGGAACAGCGGTATCTTTCCAAGTTAGTATGGTGAATGGCTTGGAGGGGAACTTGCACTTGGTGGTGTTCCCATGTATCTGCTGCCCTTGTCCTTCTAGGTGGAAGTGGTCATGGGTTTGGGTGATGCTGTCTGGGAACCTTTGATGAATATGTGCAGTACATCTTGTAGATAGTACACATGCTGCCATTGGTGACGTAGGGAGTGGATGCTTATAAATGTGGCAGCAATCAAGTGGGCAGATGGTGTCAGGCTTCCTGACTGTTGTTGGAGCTGCACCATTCAGGCAAGTGGGAAGTATTCCATCACATTCCTGACTTGTGCCTTGTAGATGGTGGACAGGCTCTGGGGATTCAGGAGGTGCGTTACTCGCCACAGTATTCCTAGCCTCTGACCTGCTTTTATAGCCACTGTGTTATGTGATGCCACCGGTTCAGGTTCTGGTCAATGGTAAACCCAGGGATGTTGATAGTAGGAGATTCAGTGATGGTAATACCAATGAATGTCAAAGGGCGGTGATTAAATTGTCTCTTGTTGGAGTGGATCATTATTTGGATTTTTTGTGACCCAAATGTTACTTGCCACTTGTCAGCCCAAACCTAGGTATTGTCCAGATCTTGTTGCATTTGAACATGGACTGCTTCAGTATCTGAGGAGTTGTGAATGGTGCTGAACATTGTGCAATCGTTGGCGAATACTCCCACTTTGACCTTATGATGGAGAGAAGGTCATTGATGAAGCAGCTGAAGATGGTTAGGCTTAGGACACTACCGTGCGGAACTCCTGCAGAAATGTTCTGGACCTGAGATGACTGACCTCCAACAACCACAACCATCTTCCTATATGTCAGGTATGACTCTAACCAGTGGAGAGTGTTCCTCAGATACGCATTGATTCCAGTTTTGCTAGGGCTCCTTGATGCCACACTTGGTTGAATGCAGCCTTGATGTCAAGGTCTGTCACTCTCACTTCACCTCTGGAATTCAGCTCTTTTGTCCATGTTTGAACCAAGGCTGTAATGAGGTCAGGAGCTGAGTGGCCCTGGCGGAACCCAAACTGGGCATCACTGAGCAGGTGCTGCTTGATAGCACTGTTGATGACACCTTCCATCACTTTACTGATGATTGAGAGTAGATTCAATTTTCTACATTGTCAGTTAGATGCCAGATGCATATTGTAGCTATGCTGGAATAGCTTGGCCAGGGGAGCAGCAAGTTCTGGAGCACAATGCTTCAGTACTATAGCTAGAATCATGTCAGGGCCATAGCATTTGTAGTATCCCATGTAACCAACCATTTCTTGATATCATGTGGAGTGAATTGAATTGGCTGAAGACTGGTATCTGTAATGCTGGGGACCACTGGAGGAGATTGAAATGGATCATCCACTTCAGCGTTATCTTTTGCACTGATGTGCTGAGCTCTTCCATCATTGAGGATGGGGATATTTGTGGAGGCTCCTCCTCCAGTGAGTTGTTTATTTGTCCACCACCAGTCACAATTGGATGTGGCAGGACTGCAGAGCTTAGATCTGATCTGTTGGTTGTAGGATAGCTTAAATTTGACTGCTGTTTGCTGTTTATACTGTTTGGCATGCAAGTGGTCCAGTTTGGTAGCTTCACCAGGTTGACATTTTTAGGTATGCCCGGTGCTGCTCCTGGCACATCTTCCTGCACTCTCCATTGAACCAGAGTTGATCCCCTGGCTTGATGGTACAGGTAGAGTGGGGGATATGCCAGGCCACGAGGTTACAGATTGTGCTGGAGTACAATTCTGCTGCTGTTGATGGCCCACAACACTTCATGGATGCCTAGTCTTGAGTTACTAGATCTATTTGAAGTCTGTCCCATTTAGCACGGTGATAGTGCCACACAACACAACGGAGGTTATTTGCAATGTGAAGGTGAGACTGACTGTCCACAAGGACCGTGCGATGGTCACCCTTACTGATGCTGTCATGGACACGTGCATCTGCAGCTGGCAGATTAGTAAGGATGATGTCAAGTATGTTTTTCCCTCTTATTGGTTCCCTCACCACCTGTCGGACCCGGCCAGCTCGATCAGTAGTAGTGCTGCTGCGGACATTGAAATCCCCCACTCAGAGTACATTTTGTCCCCTTGCCATCTTCAGTGCTTCCTCCCAGTGTTGTTCAACATGGAGGAGTACCAATTCATCAGCTGAGGGAGGACAGTATGTGGTAGTCAAAAAGTGGCCTTCTTGCCCATTTTTAACATGAAGCCATGAGACTTCATGGGTCTGGAGTCAATGTTGAGGACTCCCAGGAGCAACTCCCTCCTGACTGTGTACCACTGTGCCACCACCTCTGGGTCTGTCCTGCTGGGGGGAACAGGACATATCAAGGGATGGTGATGGTGGTGTCTGGGACGTTTTCTGTAAGGTATGATTCTGTGAGTCTGACTATGTCAGGCTACTGTTTGACTAGTCTGTGAGACAGCTCTCCCAATTTTGGCACATGTTCCCAGATGTTAATAAGGAGGACTCTGCAGGGTTGACAGGGCTGTTTCTGCTGTTGTTGTTTCCAGTGCCAGGCTTGATGCTGGGTAGTCCATCTGGTTTCATTTTTTGTTGAGTCTTCATAGCTATTGATACAACAGAGTGACTTGCTTGGCCATATCAGAGGGTAATTAAGAGTCAACCACATTGCTGTCGGTCTGGAGTCACACGTAGGCCCAGACCAGGTAAGCACAGCAGATTTCCTTCCCTGGCATTAGTGAGCCAGGTGGATTTTTCCGACAATGGCAATGATTTCATAGTCTTCAGTAGGTTCTTAATTCCAGACATTTTTTTTTGATTGAATTCAAATTCCACCACATGATGTGGCAGGATTTGAACCCAGGTCCTCAGAACACTAGTTGACTTTCTGGATAATAGTCTAGTGATAGTAGCACTGGGCCATCGCCTCTCCTGAGCCTCCATCTAGATCTGTCTTGGGAGAAAGGAAGAAAATGTTCATTTATATACTGTGTTTCACAACAAAGCATTTTTGAAGTGTAGAAAACAGTCAATGTTCACACTGCAGGCTCCCACAAACAGCAAAGCGATGATGATCAAATAATTTATTTTGAGTAATATTGGTTGAAGGTTAATTATTGCCTAGGACATTATGGAAGGCCTCTGCTCCTCTTTGAAATAATATCATGGTATCTTTACATCCATGTGAGAAAGCAGACAAAGTCCTATTGGAAATGAACCACAACTAGTCATCTAATAGTTCCTCAGTACTAGAGGAGAGTACTAACTGCGATCTTACCCTTAAGATCATAAGACTTAAGATTAAGACTTGGCCCACAATTATCTGAGTTAGAGGCAAGAGTACTACCCACTAAGCCAGAACTGACATATGTAAGGAATGAAAGATTTATGCTGCTATCTTTTGTATGGGTGTGTGGACTGTATTGAATTCTCTACAAAATACTCAAGGAACAATACAATGAGGGGCTAGATTTTATGAGGGACATGTTGTTCGCCTGTCTCCAAGAAAAAGCTTAGTCACAAACTGAGCGACTTTAACAAACAAACAGTGATAATGTGCTGGTGACAGCCTTTTAAGCTCAGCATGGGACTTCTGGCCTTCATTGATGATGTTTTCAGTCTGATTAACCAAAATTGGCAATGTTTTCCAAACTGCAAAAAATGCATGGTTGTGGAAAGCTCGACATAAATGAAAGTTTTCTTCAATTCTCCCAGGAGAGCTCTCAGATTGCAAGCAGTCCCATAATGAAAACAGCATAGTACCCAGGGGGGATAGGCACCCTCGTGGGGAAGGGTTTGGGATGGAGCGTCAAGCTTTGGAGGCTGGAGCGTGGTGGAGAGGGAGACATTAGGGCTTGGGGTTACCATCTTGGGAAGGGTATGTCCCAAATGTGAATTGGTCACAAGCAAAGAAGGCACTCCCCCTTTCCTTCCCACTTTTTCACCAGAGTTACCCATTCTCACCTGCTTTCCCCTGCTAACTGCATTATGGCATGGGCATCATTATTTTCGGGTCAATTGACTTGAAAGCAAGCTTGTTGACGGTTAATGAGTTTTTTTTGTGAATGGTGGGCAGGCACTGGCATTGACTTTGACATTCACCCAAATAATCTATTGTGGGAAGCTGGCATGTTGACGTGTGGTTCATGATAATTCTCTGGATTTTAGTAAAGATACCATAGTCTCAGTCTCATTAAAGGTAGATAACTTGTGGTGAGTTTAACCTGTGGGTCAGCACACCTCAGACAAAGCTGAGAAGGTGGGACCTTTGTGGTACAAGTATGGAACCTGTGCTGTTGGCTTCACAGTGCATCACAAACCATATGTCCCACCAACTGAGCTAACCAAACCCCTCCTGTGTGGAATGGTAGCCATCTTGATGAACACATGTAAAATTTGGCTGGGATGTTATTTAGAGGTGTGGGAAATAATCATCCAACTTCAGTATATTGTGACATGAGGTAAGAATCACTTGGCAAAATTAAAGAAATACTCTGTTTGTTACAATTCATAAAATGTTCCACAGGAAACGTAAACCATTATTTACAAATGTTTTACATTAATGCATCTTACTGCTTCTGCACAGATACTTCTAGAAGCTGTAGTCAGTCCAGACCCAAAGGCTAGTATTGCAGTTTTTGAAATCAAAATCTCTCCAGGTTACTGTGTTGGTAAGTTTATTTAATTACTACAGTAAAATGAGTACCAGGTTGATGAGACTGTTCTTTTATTTGTTAAGTATCTGAAGCCAATGTTGAATACAATGGTTCAAGTAGGGAACAATTGTGTGTCTCAGCTGTTAAGCAAAATTGCCCATGGTTCAGTGGCAATTTTAATTTTAATTTTAATGAGTTGGATAATATATGAAATAGGAGAAGCCCATTTGGCTCATTGAGCCTGCTCTGCCTTTCAATAAGATGCTGGCTGATCTTCTATCTCAACTCCCTCAATGTCCTAAACAATATCGAGCTAATCTTGAATATTTCAAATGACTTTTTTTTTAGAAATTTACAAAAGTAATTTAATTCCTGTAGTCTCCATTGCCAAAGTAATAAACTATGTTTGGCTGTATTCTAGAAGCTTTCCCCAAATAGCCCTTCATCTCCAACCACCTTGCCCAATTAAATTGCCAGCTTCCCCCAATCACTAAAGTGTTTGAAGAAATGTAAAAACAAATTACTTTTAGTGCTCTTGTGATTTTTTTTCTGACCTTGGTTCCTTGTAGCAGTGTTCAGGAGACTCCAAGGTAACCCTGGAGGGTTGGCAATGCCTGCTGCTGACCCAACTTGGATATACTTCAGGTGCCCACAAGGCATGGATTGCAGAATTTTGGGATGTTTTGCACCTATCCTGTGTTTCAGTCACAAGAGGCAAATGGATCCACTTTCTATATCAGAGTTTAGGCTTGATTCTAAACTTGATCTTACTCTGCATGCAGCACTGATATTTGATTTCATTAAGTGTTATTACAATTACAGTGTGTACCTTTGAAGAGAATCACCTTTGCGGCTATAACAACAGGTGGAACCCAAATCTCAACTGGCTTGTCGGTGGAGGTTCAGTTCGAGATTCACCCACAAACCTACCAACTGATCATACATTGGACAATGAGCAAGGTATGTTTTCTATCACTCAAATATTTCTGATGGACTAAAACAAAATCTGTTTTCATTTCTGAAAAGCTGCTAAAATATTTTCATGAAATTTATCATACAGAGCAGGAAGAGGCCATTCAACCCATCATAACCATGCTGGCTCTTTGAAGCAACTGTTCAATTAGTACTACATGCTGTTCTATTACAGAAATCCCATTGATGAAAGATAGAACGGGAACAAGTCCTAAGATACTTGTGTATTTATTTACAGCATATACCTTAAGCCCCTTTGCCACAGTCTATGTCTACTCCCATCTTTCCTCATCTAAATCTATCATTGTAACCCTCTATTCCCTTCTCACTGACCTGCTTGTCTAACTTCTTTTACCGTCTCGAAGCCTAAATTGGTCAGAGTGCAATCTTCCAGATTATCTTTTTCTCCTTATTGACCAGTGTTTCTCCAACATTTTTCCTTGCTTCCTCCTGAAGATTGCATGAATCTGTATGAGATCAGGGTGTGTGGTATTGATGATAGGACTGAGAGTCTCTTCATGATGCCCCAGCCAACATCAATGTGGACTTGACTATATCAATTAGTTAATCTTCTCCTGGTACCCTTATTTTCCGTGGGCGTGTAAGTAACAACATCATTTGAACAGATATGTTGAACAAAATGCTCTCTGTCTTTGTACTATAACATGAGTAATACGAATATAAGAGATATGTGCAGGAGTAAGTCAATTGAAACTTGAACCCGTTCTGTGGAATTGACTAATTCAGCAATAACAGCTGTTCTAATGTATGTTAACTTCACTTTCCAGTCATCCTGCATAATCCTGGACTCTCATGTCAATTCATTTTTGTCCAACTCAGCATTGAATATATTTTTATATGGGGGATTGGTGAGGTAAAAGCAGTTGGTGTTGTCTGCATGGACTTCAGTAAAGCCTTTGACAAGGTCCCTCATGGCAGACTGGTGCAAAAGTTTAAGTCACAGGGTATCAGGGGTGAGCTGGCAAGATGGATACAGAACTGGCTTAGTCATAGGAGATAGAGGATAGCAGTGGAAAGATGTTTTTAGGAATAGAGGGCTGTGACTAATGGTGTTCCACATAGATTAGTGCTGGGACCTCTGCTGTTCGTGATCTACATTAATGATTTGGAGGGAAATGTAGCTGGTCTAATTAGTAAGTTTGTGGATGATATAAAGCTTGGTGGAGTTGATGATAATGAGGAGGATTATGAGAGGATACAGCATGATAAAGATCAGTTGGAGGCATGTGCAGAAAAACAGCGGATGGAGTTTAATCTGGACAAATGTGAGGTGATGCATTTTGGAAGCTCAAGTACAGGTGGAAATTATACAATGAATGGAGGAATCCTTATGAGTATTGATATGCAGAGGGATCTGGGTGTGCAGGGTCCAAGATCACTGAAGGTGGCAGCGCAGGTAGATAAGGTAGTAAAAAAGGTCTATAGCATGCTTGCCTGCATTGCAACAGGTATTGAGTATAATTATGGGCAAATTATGCTGCAGCTTTATAGAACTTCAGTTAGGCCATACTGGGAATATTGTGTACAGTTCTGGCCACCTCACTGCCAGAAGGATGTGGATGCTTTGGAGAGAGTACAGAAAAGGTTTACCAGAATGTTGCCTGGTATGGGGGATTTTAGCTATGGAGAAAGGTTGGATAGACTGGGTTTGTTTTTACTGGAACACAGGAGGTTTAGGGGCAACCTGATAGAAGTTTATAAGATTGTGAATGCCATGAATAGAGTGGAAAGTATGAGGCTTTTCCCCCAGGGTGGAGAGGCCAAGCACTATGGGACACAGGTTCAAGATACAAGGTGGAGGGGAGTTTAAAAGAGAGACGTGCGAGGCAGGTTTTTCACACAAAGGGTGGTGAGTGCCTGGCATGCGTTGCCAGAGGACTTGGTGGAAGCAACACAATGGCAGCATTCAAGAAGCACCTGGACAAGTATATGAGTGGGAAGGGAATAGAGGGATACAGATCCTGTAAGTGAAGATAATTTCAATATGGAAGAACAAAATGCAGTGACGCGGGCTTGGAGAGCTGAAGGGCCTGTTCTTGTGCTGAATTGTTCTTTGTTCTTTATAAAGACCCAGCTTCCATGGCTGTCTGAGTGACAAAAATACAAACAGTAACAATCCAAATTTTTGCCCACTCACCTCATCTAATATTGCTGAAGAGTCTTTGTGTGCTCCTCACATCTTACTTTTATCTATCTGTGTATCATCATCAAATTTGATGACAATTCTGTTGATTCTGTCATCTAAATCACTGATATAGATTGTAAATAGTTTAGTTCACTGATCCCTGTGCATTCCACTGGCTACAGTTTGCCAACCGGAAAATAACTAGTTCACTGGTGTTTCCTGTTAGTTAGCCAGTCCTCAATTAATGCTAATCTATCACCCACACACCATATTTTTCTCATCTTGTGTAGTGATTTTTTTGAATGCGTTATGGAATCTGCTTAGACCATTTCTACCAATTCCCCTTTATCCTCCGTATAAGTCTGTATCCTCAAGAGAACTTTAATATGTTTGTCAGACTCAATTTCCTTTTCACAAAACTGTGTTAACTCTGCCTGATTAGGATTTTCTAAATGTGCTGCTGTGACTTCTTTGGAAAAATGCTAGAATGCACAATCAATGACAAATGCTTGAATAACTTCCAGCTTTCCGTCTTCCTTCTTTCTTACTATATTCATGATTTTCTAAGTCACTTTGAAGTGCCATGTTATCCAGCCACTATAAGGAAAGGAAATTTGACCTGGATTAATTCCAATGTGAATTAGGGAAAATGTACCCTAGATCAACATTGTTTTAGCATGAAATAAAAATAAATTACCTCAGCTCTCAATAAACTTGTGGTGGATCAAGTGTACAATAACTTTCAGGATGCAGAAGTCTGTCATGCATTATATCATTGACAGCTGGAAGGGCCACAGAACTGTCGCAGTGGGGGACCATCCAGAAAAACATTCTGACCACATATGAATAAAGTATTGTATGTTAAAGAACAAATATCAGTTAGGCACACGGACCATCACAGATCTGCAGGAAAGTAATGCCGTTGACATCTGTAACTAAACAGTGGGATAAGTACTTCACAAGAAGTATTTTCTCCTAGCAAAACACATGATGACTCCCAAAACCAAGAGAAAATGCCAAAGGATGATTGTCATATGGCTTTATGTAATCAGTCGAATTCATGATGAAGGACCGCAGTTATGTGGAGGATGTTGTGTTGTTTCTCTTTTAGCAGGAAAGGATAAAGGGAGATTAGGTGTTGGAAATTACAATGAGTTTTAATAGTTTAAGTAATACAAACTGTGTTGAATGGTAGAAGGATCAGTAACCAGAGGACACAGATTTAAGGCAATTGGCAAAAGAACCAATGGGAGATGAGGAGAAATTTTCCTTTGCTGCAAATTGGAATAATCTGGAATGCGGAAAAGGACATTGGAAACAGATTAATAGTAACATTCCAAAGTTAATTGGATTAATACTGGAAGAGAAAAACATGCAAGACTGTGGGAAGGAGTGGGGGGGTACAACTAATTGGATAACTCTTTCAGTGAGTGCGCACAGACATTTTGGGCTGAATGTCCTCCTTCTATGCTGCCTGATTCTATAATTCAGTGATCAGTAGAGTCCAATACTCAATAAGCCACAGTATTCTGTTATATTTTGATATTAATAAAGCATTAAAGAGCTATAGAAAACTGACTAAAGTAAAATTTTTTAAAACATTAGAAAGGTCAACTTTTATTCTGATTATGAATGGGGGGAGCAGGGTGCATCCAGATAGACACTGATCTCTCAACCAAATGTCTTATTGCCACAAACAAGGGTGGAAATGCCAAAACTCACTGACAGAAAACAATTAGATGTCTATTTAAAAGACAAAGCAATGTCAGTAAGAAAGAAACTCAGAAGTATTCGACAGATGGGATTAGTTTAGAATAGCATAATGGTCGGTGCAGACGTGATGGGTCGAAGGGCCTGTTCCTGTGCTGTACTGTTCTATGTTCTACGTAAAACTCAAACTAGTAAGTTTGTTCTTAATCAATCAAGTCAAAACATCTCCCCCTGCAAACCTTCGATGAATCATCATTTAATAACTTGTTTTGCTTGAGATTGAATGAGTATTTCTGGTGCCAGTTGGGTAAGCATTGTTGCATGATTATTGGGTTTTATTGAATTGTAATGCCACTCATGACATATGACTTTGTTCTGAAAATTATCCCAGAGAGCTTTGGTTTCTCTCTCTCTCCCCTCGACTGTGCCAGTGTGATATTTAAGGCTGTTTTTAATATGACTTCTAACAGTGGCCATGCTGGAGTTGTAGCATGTATTCACCTAGAATGAAACGGAATCTAGCTTTGTGAATGAGGCAAGCATCATTATGCACTGTCTTGCGTCAGTTTAGACTTTCAAAACAGATTAACAGGGGGTGGTATTAGCCACACTGTCGTAGAGAGCAGCACTGTTATTCACAGCCAGAACGGTAAAGGTTGGTGAATTGGTTAAGAAACGTTTGTGTACTTGTCATTACTTTAAGGAGAAATTATTTTTGTCTAACAACTATCGTTGAACAGCAGGGAGATTGCTGTTTGTGTTTAAATCAATGACTTATTTTCTAGGAATTTCCAAGGTGGGTTGGTGGTTAAACAGCTCCATCTGCGTTTGTGTGTTAGTCAGCAGCAAGAGAATAAATTGCACGTCTGTGCTAGAGGAAAGAATGATTTTTCCATTCATGAATTAAGATGCGAGTGTTTTATTCTATGTGATGCTCCCATCAGATTTTGTGATGTGCAGCCATTGCAAAAGAAAAAAGAAACTAAGGAAACCTCAAATGAGAATGTGACAACTTGAATTAGAAAGAACATAGCAATTAATGAATATACAGTACAGAAATGGACCAGTCATCCCAATTCGTCTATGATGGTATTTATGCTTCTGAAGAGCCTACTGTCACTCCTCTTCGTCC